CAGGCAGAGCCTGAACTGGGGAGCTGCAGCCAAACCTTGAGAAGAGCCAGGACCCAGGGGCTGTGCCCAGGGGCTGTGTGCCAGCGTGGCCCTGCCATGGTGCTGCTGGAGGTGGCTGCACCCAGGGTGTTTCTGCACCCCCTGCAGCACCCAAGCTCCGAGCATCACTGGGGCTGCAGATCCACCACTGCTCGGCCAGTTAGCTGAGCCCCTTCAAGGCGCACGCTGCTGCTGCACTAAGGGAGCCTTCCTCCCACATGCTCCAGAGGAAAACTCCAATCCTCCTCTCCAGCTGAGGACAACATGGTTCACAGCTATGTGGCAGGCAGAGGCCTGACTTAACCCCTTGTTACCCTGGCCTCTCACAGCCCTCCTCCCAAAGGCACACATCTCATGCAGCTCCTGGAGGGGGAATTTCTCCCAGCCTTTTGCTTTGGGCCAGGACTAGTCTCAGGTACTCTCTGCTGCCCGAATCCAACTAAGAGAAAATGTGCCTGGCTGGATCATTTTGGGGTGGCCATTGCAGCCATTTCTAGCTGGCAAGGATGCACACAAGCTCCTCCAGGATGAATCTCGCTCCCCTGAGAGCAGGGAGGAACAAGGTATGTTGGTAAGAAGAGAGCAGGTAGGAACAAGGTGTGTTGGTAGGAACAAGGAGGTAGGAACGAGGACCTCAGGGGATCCCAGCTCCGAGCATCATCCTCTCCTTGTGGTAATGGGGTTGTAGCTCCAAGCAGGAGAGGGACCCACCTGGGCACAGACCCAGCAGAGTTACGAGGCGGTGTGCAGCAGGACTAGCAGCATGCTCAAAGCTCCCTTTGTGTCGGAGGTCTCCAGCTAATTCCTCTCTATCACAGCCACATGCCTGGCAATGTGGTGAGCGAATGTCTCTTGCATTGTTCTTTGAAATGATCGCTATAGACTGACAGAAGGAGAGAAACTGGCAGGCTAAGACGCGTTCACAAAAATATCCCCTCCAAGGTCAGTTTAAGTAAGCCTCCATCATCGATGAGCGCTGCGTGGGAGAGCTCCTGTCAGCTCTGCACCATGGCTGGTGCGGAGGTGGGCTTTGCTGCTTCTCTTCTGCCACATCATCTTGGCCCATGGCAAGGTGTCACAACTCCAGTTGTGCTCCCAGGCACCTCCTCACTCACACCAGGCCAGCCCATGGCTCGAGGGGGCATCTTGTCTCCCCCAAGCCCCCCAAGCCAGAAGTCCGAGTCAGGCAGGCTACGGACGTTTGCTCAGCAACTCAAGCCAGGGCTGGTGATTGAACCCAGGAGGACCCTCCCCACTTTCCCCCTCCAGCACCGGCACACAGCCCGGCTGCTCTGCACGAGGCCATCACCCGCTGCACCCCATCCCCACCGCAGCCCTGGAGCTGGGAAGCACCCGGCCTTGAACGCCATGCCAGGGGACACGGTGGGCAGGGGCTTTGCTGGAAGAGGGACAGACAAAAAGTGGGCACATAGCACTCAGCTGTGGTGGGCGAGGGGGGAAGCCACTGGGATCACAGCGGAAGGGGGAAGGAGTCCTGGGGTCAGCATGCTGAATTGGCTCTGGAGTGGATGTGGCGTGGGCACAGCCACTTCCCCTGGCAGCTGGCAATCCCTGTGGGGTGCCAAAATGTGCCTGCAGACCCCTGATGCCAGCAGGCAGCTAACCTGCCGCCTCTGCCCCGCAGGCTGGTCTCAGGGTGGGAGGAGATTAAAGCTGCTTCCCGAAGCTTGCCCCAGCCCATGTCACCCTCTGATTTCCTGGACAAGCTTATGGGACGAACATCAGGGTACGACGCCCGGATTCGACCCAACTTCAAAGGTAAGGAGAGGACGTGAGGCTCCCAAACCTGGCAGTGGCCACACTTATGGCTGCCCAAAACCAGGGAACAGGCAGGTATGGGTTTGGGGGCAGGACCCTGACTCACATCCCTCTGTCCCAACACCCTCCCCAGAGTCCTGGCTGCTCCTGTGGTCACAGCCGCTCCATGTGTGCCTGCTTTGCCTGACAGCACAGGCAGCTGCAGTGTTTGCAAGGTGTACTGGGGTTCACCCTGACACACTTCGGGGGTGACCCGGCGGGCAGGGGGATGCTCGTGTGCGTTCATCTGCGCAGCGCGTGCAGGATGCGGTGTCCCCACGTGTGCCTGTGCAGTGCACGTGTCTCCCTGGCCAGTGGTGAGAGGAGGCTTCACGCTGTTTTCCAGGTCCACCTGTCAACGTGACGTGCAACATCTTCATCAACAGCTTCGGCTCTGTCACCGAGACCACCATGGTAAGGGTTTCATCGGTGTAATGGGCTCCTCTCCCAGTGCCTTGGTGCTGGTGGTGGCTCTGCTGGGGATTGTGTGTGTCCTGGTGCCTGAAACTGTGGCCGTGCTTACAGGGGTTATCTGAGCCCTTCTCTGGAGCTGGCCCTGGCACCATGGTGGGGACATGCAGAGCCATAGCAAATGGCTGTGGCTTGTCTGGGGTCAGTTAACCAGAGCTTGGCTGTGTGGGCCGCATTCCCCATGCCAGAGCTGGGTGAAAAACCCTGAAGTGTCAGAGTGAGGCAGCCGGCGGTAGCTCCCTGCTGTTCGCAGGCTTGGCAGGTGCCATACAACTCAAGTGAGCTCTGTGTCCCTGCCATCCCCAGCCTCCTCGCGTACATGAGCCTCTAAGGAAGCCCCAGGGCTAAAAAAATCCTATTTGTGCTGCTGCAAAGCCTTGATACCATCGACCATCAGATCAAGCCCCCACAGGGCCATAAATCCCTGCAAAGAATGCTGCAGGCAATAGCTACTGGTCCTCCTTCTCCTTCTCTCAGCTGCTGTGGCTTTGGCTTTTTAATTTCCCTGGCGGCCAACAGCATGGGAAGGCCTCTGAGCTGCCCCTGCCCCGTGTGTGGTTAGTGGTGGGCAGGCAGCACCTGCCGGGCTGAGCCTCGACTGAGACCCCCTTCTACCTCCTCCTCCATCTCTTCCTCCTCCTCCCTGGGCACTGTGGGGTGCTCCCGGCTGACGCGGTGCCCTCTTGCCCCAGGACTACCGGGTGAACATCTTCCTACGGCAGCAGTGGAATGACCCCCGTCTGGCTTATCGCGAGTACCCCGATGACTCCCTTGACCTCGACCCCTCCATGCTCGACTCCATCTGGAAGCCAGACTTGTTCTTCGCCAATGAGAAAGGTGCCAATTTCCACGAGGTCACCACTGACAACAAGCTGCTGCGCATCTTCAAAAATGGCAACGTGCTCTACAGCATTAGGTAGAATGCTTCTCCTCTGGTGCAGTGCATGAGTGGGGAGGTGAAGCTTTCCTCTTGCCTCCCGTGGAGCAGCTTTTCCCTTCTGACTGTCCCAGCCCTCAGCAACCACCTTCTTTCCTCTGCCTCCTCTAGGCTGACGCTGATCCTGTCCTGCCCCATGGACCTCAAGAACTTCCCCATGGACATCCAGACGTGCACGATGCAGCTGGAGAGCTGTGAGTACCTAGGGGGGTTCAAGCTGTGCTTCATCCCACCCACCCCACCCCATCCCATCCCATCTCATCCCATCCCATCCCAAAGGCTGGCATCTTCCTGCTTCTGAGGGAGGTGAGCAGGAAGGAGTGGTCGTTCAGGGTGGGGATGAATGGGGTGCATGTCCCCCCAGCCCATGACTCCCTCCATCCCCTCCAGTTGGCTACACCATGAATGACCTCATCTTCGAGTGGCTGGAAGAGCAGGAGGCTGTGCAGGTGGCAGAGGGCTTGACACTCCCACAGTTCATCCTCAGGGATGAGAAGGACCTGGGCTATTGCACCAAGTACTACAACACAGGTGAGAACCCCACGGACCTGCTGCCAGCCTCCACCATGGCCCAGGGGTCCCTCTCGCCCATCAGAGCCGTCTTTCCCCACAGGCAAGTTCACCTGCATTGAGGTGAAGTTCCACCTGGAGAGGCAGATGGGTTACTACCTAATCCAGATGTACATCCCCAGCCTGCTCATCGTCATCCTCTCCTGGGTCTCCTTCTGGATCAACATGGATGCGGCGCCGGCCCGTGTGGGCTTGGGCATCACCACCGTGCTCACCATGACCACGCAGAGTGCCGGCTCCCGCGCCTCCCTGCCCAAGGTCAGTGCTGGCTCCATGCCAGGCTCCGGTGCTGCAGCCTGCGCGAGGCACCGGGGGTGCCCGCTGCTGCTCCCAGGGCCCCAGAGGCAGGGGTCGGCTCTCAAACTCCGTGGCCCTGCCGGCTGGGGCACCGCACGTGCCAAGGGGGAACATGGTGCTGCTTGGCTGGGCGAGCTCTGGCCCGTGTGTCCCAGCTGAGAGGGCTCCTGTGCCCCTTGGCAGCGGGGCGAAGCTGGCAGTGGCAGGGACGAGCGGGGTGGGGGGCAGCGGGTCCCTGAGCTCCCTCTCGCACTCGCAGGTCTCCTACGTGAAGGCCATCGACATCTGGATGGCTGTGTGCCTGCTCTTTGTCTTTGCCGCCTTGCTGGAGTACGCAGCCGTCAACTTCGTCTCCCGCCAGCACAAAGAGTTCATGCGCCTGCGCCGGCGCCAACGGCGGCACAGGATGGGGAGGCCCTCCCCCCCTGCCTGTCCTCAGCCACCAAGGGGACACCCTGGGACTGCGGGGCCAGTTTCTCAGCAGCCGCCGGGGCAGGGCTCGGTGCTGGCCTGTCCCCCACTGCCTGGGACTTGCAGCCAGCCCCTCCGGCACATCAGCGACCTGCAGGCATCGCAGTGCTTCTGCCTGCCTAAGCAGTACAGTGCACAGCACTCATGGGTGCCACAGGCCCTGCCAGCACAAACACACTCAGGGTGCCATCCTCCTCCTGCCAGGACATCCTTGGGCTCCTCTTCCTCTAAAAAAGCAGAAGAATAAACAGCGAGGGTGGGGGAAATGGCCTTTCCCCTTACCTGCAGCCCCAAACCCGGGCTCCTCGCTGTGCCACAGCTGTGACGGGCTCACTGAGGCGTCAGGGTGCTGAAGCACCAAGGGTACCTGGTGGCACTCAGGGACAGGGTCTGGGCTGCAGATGAGAGTGCAGCAGGGCCTGGAGAGGCAAGGTCCCGTGCTCGTGGGACAGCCCTTCCCTCTGCCAGCTCATCAGCGCAGGCATCAGGCCTGCAAGATGCTCGGGGAAGGCACACAGCTGCCCCACTCTCATTTTCCTGCTGCACTGCAAGGCATCAGACCTCCCTGGAAAACATGAGTACATGTACACACCGCACAGGCTCGCGGTGCCCCGTGCAGCCACATCCCTTCAGCTCATGCTGAAGATGGATCCCAGTGCCTGAGCACGGCCTGGGGGGCTTTTTCCCCCAACATGGAGCACCTCTCCCCCCGCCATCCCCATCCTGGCGCCCAGAGCCACTGTCCCTGGGGCCGGGGCAGAGCCATCAGTCACCTGCTGTCCTGTTTCTGTTTGCTGCGCACTGTCGGATGCCAAAAGGGCCTGAGCAGCGGGACAGACAGCCCGGAGTCCCTGCGGCAGCCGAGCGGCCGGCACGGCGGCGAGCACACCTACGCGACGCTCTCGCAGCTCTCCAGCTCCCGGGTAAAGCGCGACCCTCTGGCAGCCCCCCACGCAGTGCAGTGCAGCGCACCCCCAGCCAGCCTCACCCGCCCCTCCCCAAAACAAGCTCCCCAGGAGCTGGCCCAGGGGTCAGCAAGGGCCCATGGAAGAAGCAGGGCAGTGATTTGCACAGAGCATGTGCCCATAGGATGGAGCTGCGGCTCCCTGAGCTGAAAAGAGATCTCTCAGAGGGATGGGGACGGAGCAGATTTCCCTTGAGACACCACTGCTCCGTGCCTCAGTTTCCCCTTCCGTAAAGCCGGACCAGCATAGTCCCCTTTGCCAAGGGGCGAGTGATAGTGGGGCAGACCGACGGCCGCTCCTGAGCTGCTGCCCAGCTCCCCAGGCCGTGCCCACACCCCTGGCCCGGTGAGGGCTCTGCCTGCCCGGCTTTCCTGGCACAGGCAGGTTTGAGGCACTCACGGCTGCCTGCAGCAAGTCCAGCACAGAAAGGTGCTGAGGGCACACGGGCACTGCAGCTGGAGGCACAGGGAGGAGCGGTGGGGCAGGGCAGGCTCCCAGGCTGGCCGGGAGGTCCTGGGGGACAATGGCAAGGAGCTTGTAATGCTCTGTCATGTATGGTCTGTGTACATTTTGCCGGTGATTACCTTGGCACTCATAAGAACAAGGAGTTCGCATTTGGTTCTAAAGACCAGATTCCAGGCTTGTATCAGATATTTCAGACGGTAGTAATAGGGTAGTAGAGGATTAGTCAAAAGAGGATCAATACAGAGAATGGATTTTACTTTTAAGTACGTATGTGTGTGTACGTATGTATATACATAAAAAGTTCACCTAGCTCAGGCCGCAGCTCCACGGAGAGGAGGTCAGGCCGGGGACATCCTCGCGTGCCCGCTCGGCCGGGCTGCCCCAAGCTCCCCCTCTGCCATCATCAGCCCTTGGACGCCAGGAGAGGCTTCCCGGCTACCCCCAGCACGCTCCCTTGCTCCCTGCGCTGCAGCCAGGAGCACCCGGGGTTGCTGCTCTGTCAGAGACCAGAGCAGAGCCCCGCTGCCCGCAGCTCCTGTGCCGATGGCCTGACGCAGCACAGCCCAGGTGCTGCAGCCCGATGGTGAATCCCCAGACCTCACAAAGCCAGGCTCAGGGAGCTCCCCGCACCCAGCTTTGGCCCCCAATAAGCACCCGGCGGCTGCTCCAGCCCAGAGGGACCCAACTGGGAGGATCAGCACTCCCAGTCTGCCATCTCCTCCCCCAAATGCCCTTGGCTGGGCCCGCTGGCTCCCTGGGCTGGGGGAATAGCTGCTGCCCCCCAGGGCACGCAGGGAACCCCAGCTCCCCTCCACCGTGTCCCCCGGGGTGGCCGCAAGCGCTCGGTCTGGGGCAGGGGAATAAAACTTTGCTGCAAATGAGAACTAATCTCAGCAATTTGAGCCGTTGCTGCTCTTCCCCCTGAGAAATCTTGCTTAGCCAGCAGATTGCCAAGTTAAAGATGCCAGGGCGCAAGCTGTCCGCATGAGAGCCCCCGTGCCGGCTGAGCGCCTGTGCAGGCTGACCTCAGCGAGGAGGCTGCTCTCTGCGGTTTGGAGGGCAGTGCCAGTCAGAGATGGTGTTTGGGATCCGGCACCCAGGCTGCATGTGGGCTGGGCACGAGGCGAGGGGCTGGCCTGCAGCACACCCTGCGAGAAGAGACCCGTCGCAGACAGATATGGCACCGGTGGGGCAGAGCGGGGATGAGCCAGAGAGACCAAAATGAATGGCCCAAGGGACTCGGCAAGAAGCCAGACATGCAGCCCGGGCTTGCACATACCAGTCCCTCACCAAATCTTCACACAAAGAACCCACCCCCACGGATAAAAGAGCAGGACAAGGCGAGTCGCTAACAACGTGCAGCTGTTGGTGGGGAGGGTTGTGGGCACCACTGGCTGGCACCCGCCACAAGGCAAGCGGGGCTGTGACCCAAGGGTGAAGGCAGGCATCCGGCTCTCACGGCACTTTTGCAGGCATGATCATGGACATGCAGCCCGTGGGCACGCTGCCCTCCCTGCAGTCCCTGGCCAGCATCGGGGGAGATGGGGTGAGCAAGGGCAGAGACCAGCAAGGAGTCCAGCTCTCTCAGCCTCCCCTCTCTGCTGCAGCAGGCAGCCCCCACCAAGCAGCTGTGGGGAGAAATGGGCATCTGGGCCCTTGGGGGACTGGGAGACCCTGCAAGCCCTGATGGTAGCCAGGCTCCTGTATCCCTGCCTAGGTCTGCCCCAGCAAGCTGCCTGCCCCCTCCCATTCACTGGCACAGGTACGCTTCCACCCCGCAGCAAACACGGCTGCC